CTTTGGTCCCACGGCTTCAGCCAGCGCCCGCGCTTCGAGCAGGTTGTGGGCTACCTGGAGCGATGAGCCGCTGTTCCTGGACCAGCCGGACCGCAAGGCCACCACGTTCATCACGAGCCACTTCTACTTGGACGACTTCGTGCAGTCCAGCGAGGACCCCAACCCGCAGCCTCTGCAGGACATGCCTTTGAGGGCAATTCCTGAGGAATGCGCCAAGGCCAAGGAAACCGCTTCGGCGAGGACGACCTTGCAGGAGACCCAGAGGCCGACGCGCTGACAAACAACGGTCAGGGTCCGCCCTCCATTACGGGCCGTCTGCGCAGCGCGGCCGACGGAGCGCAGCAGGGCTCGCGGCGGTGCAGGCCTTCCGCTCCCAGCTCCCCCAGGACGCTGCTGAGTACGTCCGCCTGAACGTGATGCCCCGCCCAGGGCCTCAGCCACAGCCACCTCCGCAGATCATCGTCGACCCAACAACATAGAGCGCCTCCTGGACGAGGCGGGGCAGCGCGCGCAGGAGGTGGAGCGTGGCGCAGCGCAGGCCGTAGAGGAGACGGCAGCTGTGGCTGCGGAGGAGGGAGAGGTTGCCGTTGCCGCCGAGGGCGTAGGCGGAAAAGCCTGGCAGAAGGAGCAGCCGCGTCCTCACTGCCCTGCTGAGGCCGGAAGAGCGTGTTCTCCAGCACCCAGCCCGTGCCGCGCACGAGACCGTAGGCTGCGCCGCCTGCGAGTCCCACGGCCAACCCTGCTGCTGCGCCGACTCCTGCCGTGGCAGCCAGCGTTCCAGCAACCTCGTGCAGGACGTCCGGTCCGCCAACGACGCCACTCAGCCCAGCACTTCACGCTGCGCTCCGGCAGCAGCACTTCAGGCAGCCCCGCAAGCAGCCGCGCCTCCTCCCAGTCTGGATTCCGAGTCCAGGCGCAGACCAATCACACACCACGCCCCTTCTCCTGGCGCCTGAACCCTGTGACTCTGCCTCAGTCCCAGCCGAACTCGCGGGCAAGCTCTCGCAGCTCCGGACAGTCACGCCAGAGCCGCCTGCCTCCGCCGAGCTACGACCAGCTGGCCCGAGACATCAAGGCGGGGTAAAAAAAATCCATTCTCCCACAGACACCCCGAAGTTACAGGCGGGGAGATCTTCGCCGTACGAGTGAAAACGCGTATGTATAAAGAAGCATGGAGGTAGTCACAGCCGGAGCACAGGATGAGTTGATGCAGAGCCTGGACTACAAGCTGAAAACCAGCAACACCAACTACGTGACAGCACGGCGCGACGTGCAGCATCCGAAGCTCGCTGAGCTCCTTCTCCCCAGCCACCTCGAGGGTCTGCCGCATTCCGCTGACCAGCGGTACCTCGTTCATCGACCCCGAGTCGATCAAGATCGCCTTCAGAGTCAGAAACACGGACGCCACCAACCCGCTGGCGCCTGCCAAACCCCGCCTGTTTCATCCAGAATATCCAGGTCTTCGCCAACGGCCAGCGCTGCGACGACATCAACTACTACGGCCGCACCGTGGCCGTGCATGACCTGCTGAAGGGCCGCGAGTACAACCAGGCAGGAAGACAGTCTCCTGGAGTCGCAGATGCAGCTGGGCAGCCTGCAGTACCCGCACAATCCAATGAAGGGAGCCTCGGAGCACTTCCACTTCCTCTCGGTCCTTGCTGGGACCTACGACAACACGGTGCGCAACATCGACATCGACCGCGCGGGCTACCTGCGCCACAGCTTCATCGTGGGCTTCCCAACCGAGCGCGTGCCCAAGATGCCCCTCAGCGGCGTCAGCGCCCGTTCGGGCGACCTGGCTCGGTTCACTTTCAAGGCGCTCGACGGCACGATGACGGACGTGTTCACCCACCTGATAGCCTATCAGCTGGTGACGCTCTCTGGCACTGGAGTCTCTGTGCTTGACTAGTAAGGATCCATAACTCAATTGGAAGAGACGCTGCAGCTCTGAAGCTTGGAGGCCGCGCTCGATTCCACCCGGGCGCGGATCATTTTTTTTACTAGGCGAGTGCCTTTGGGAATGCTTTTTTCTCCCTCGAGCCGAGACGGATCTCCGAGACGGATCTTTCCACCTCCAACCCAGTGACCGCCTCTCCTGGGAATAAGAAACTTTCGAGACGGATCTTTCCACCTCCAACCCAGTGACCGCCTCTCCTGGGAATAAAGAAATATATCCAGGTCCGAGACGGATCTCCGAGACGGATCTTTCCACCTCCAACCCAGTGACCGCCTCTCCTGGGAATAAGAAATTTTCGGGACGGATCTTGCCATCTCCTGGGAATAGGAAATTCCCCGAGACGGATCTTTCCGCCTCCAACCCAGTGACCGCCTCTCCTGGGAATAAGAAATTTTCGAGACGGATCTTTCCATCTCCTGCGAATGGGAAATTCCCCGAGACGGATCTTTCCGCCTCCAACCCAGTGACCACCTCTCCTGGGAATAAGAAATTTTACGAAAATTCCCCGAGACGGATCTTTCCGCCTCCAACCCAGTGACCGCCTCTCCTGGGAATAAGAAATTTTCGAGACGGATCTTTTCATCTCCTGGGAATAGGAAATTCCCCAAGACGGATCTTTCCGCCTCCAACCCAGTGACCGCCTCTCCTGGGAATAAGAAATTTTCAAGACGGATCTTCCACTTCGAGACGGATCTTTCCACCTCCAGCCCAGTGACCGCCTCTCCTGGGAATAAGAAATTTTCGAGACGGATCTTCCACTTCGAGACGGATCTTTCCGCCTCCAGCCCAGTGACCGCCTCTCCTAGGAATAAGAAATTTTCGAGACGGATCTTCCACTTCGAGACGGATCTTTCCACCTCCAGCCCAGTGACCGCCTCTCCTTAAAAGACTTTTACTCCCAGGTCCGAGACGGATCTTATCGCCTCCAGCCCAGTGACCGCCTCTCCTGGGAATAAGAAATTTTCGAGACGGATCTTTCCATCTCCTGGGAATAGGAAATTCCCCGAGACGGATCTTTCCGCCTCCAGCCCAGTGACCGCCTCTCCTGGGAATAAGAAATTTTCGAGACGGATCTTCCACTTCGAGACGGATCTTTCCACCTCCAGCCCACTGACCGCCTCTCCTTAAAAGACTTTTGCTCCCAGGTCCGAGACGGATCTTATCGCCTCCAGCCCAGTGACCGCCTCTCCTGGGAATACGCTCCCGGCAGGCCATGCAAATCATAGAGAGCTGGAGAGTGAGGTGGTTTGGAGAAAAAAAGGGAGGGAGAGTGTGCGAGGAGAGAGTGAAAGGGTTCCGACTCTGTTTTGGTCAGTCCGCCCAACAAGTTTCTTGTGTTTTTTTTTGCAGACTGCAGATGAGGGTGCGACAGGTGATGTGGCCTGGAGGTATGCTGGTGAAGCCATGTCACCTGTTTATTTTTTATTTATTTTTATTTTTATGTGATACTCGCCCGCCCAACGGGTCTGGGGTGGGGGGGGGGGTTGGGGGTTGGCTTGACACTGGGCCGCCCAACAGGTGGGGTCTGGGCTTGATACTATTCCGCCCAACCCGTTTTTTTTTGGGCGGGGATCCCAAATCAAGCCAAAAAAACATGCAAAAACGAGCAAAAAGAGGGGGTGCAAAAGGGGTGCAAGAGGGGTGCAAAAGGGGTGCAAGAGGGGTGCAAGAGGGGTGCAATCCCAAATCATACAAAAAAACATGCAAAATCGAGCAAAAAGGAAGGGCGTCGTGGACAATCGTGAACAAGCGATCCAAAACAAAGCAAACAAGAACATACAATATCGAGCAAAAGGGAGGGGGTGCAAACGGGGTGCAAGAGGGGTCAAGAGGGGTGCAAGAGGGGTGCAAGAGGGGTGCAATCCCACGAGGCCCGCTTTGAGTGCAGAGAGAGTGGACAGGGGTTCGTTTTTTTTTTTTTAAAGTACTGGTCCGCCCAATCCGCTGGGGGTTTGATACTGGTCCGCCCAACCCGCTGGGGGGGGGGGGTTGATACTGGTCCGCCCAACCCGTTTGGGTTTGATACTGGTCCGCCCAACCCGTTTGGGTTTGATACTGGTCCGCCCAACCCGTTTGGTTTGCCGAGGACCCCAAACCCTAACCCGTCCCTGTGCCTTGTCTGCATGCCTGTAAGGCACTGCCCATCCCAGGAATGCAACACCAAGTCCATTGCGCAACCGCAAGCTGTTCATGCGTTCGTCACCTTGGATTTCGCATGTCTAGCGCCACATCGGTGAGCGCAAATCTTGTCATGCGGCCCCTCTTCAGATTGGTGCTCTTCCGCACCTTCTCCATGTAGCACAGACTCAATGTCTGGTGTCTACATCCTTTGCCTGCCTAGAGCAGATGTCGGGAATGCCGGAAGTTAAGGTCGCCTTGATAGACTCTCAAGTGTCGACAGTTGCATGCGCAGTATTCGGCGTCGCCACGTCGCCAACTGGCGTTTCACTGAGTAGAGATGGGAGCTCTGTGTCGTATGTGGATGAGAACTGTATATCTGCCGAATTTGGCTCGAATGTCTTGAGCGTATACGACTGCTGTGCCGTGCTTGTGCTTTTTGCCGTGCCGGGCTTCATGTTGTTTTCCAGCTGGGTGTCACTTATATATCGCATATAAGGATTGCGCTGCCTCCCAACATATTTGTACATATGTATATAAGCCATATATATATATGTATATGTGTATATATATATATATACACAGATCCACGTAGGCTTCTTTCTGCATGCACAACTTGCCTCGTTTCGCTACAACGCACACGTTTTGATGTTGATGGATGGTTAGCTTGGCTGGATGATTTGTTTACTGTGTTTTGTTTGTGCCTCTTGGCTACTGTGCTCATGCTCATGCACATCAATCGATCAATCGGCCATCAAACCAGTACTGTTCCGCACTGTGCACATTCGGCTTGCGGCAGTGCCTGTTACTCGGTTTATATCGACTCAGCACAGGCCCGCAATGAATAGTGGAGGGTCTGCTGTTCGCAGATTGACCCTTAAGGACATTCGTATATCGCTTCTTGATTGCAACACCCTCATTCAAATTTTGGAGGGACCTCACGGGCCCACATCCCTGGCTCATGGCGGGCGAGCCTGCAGCAGAAGCAGGAGGCCGTGACCGCGCGTGTTTGGTTTGACTAGCGGTTCGGGTGAACTGGGGGCACCTGAATTAAAAAGTAAACCGACCACGTTTTGAAGGATTTGCCTAGTTTTGGAAGCGGTATATTCACAAGGTCTTTTGCTGGGATCGGGGAACTGGCTTCCATGGACTGGTCTTTTCTTGCGACGCGACTCGTTCCTTTTGCCAACTTGCTGTCCTGTTTGCATCTGGAACATATCGACGTGTGGCCATATGAAGCCGTGCAGGATGCACGGCTTGCTTGACGAGGTTGGATCGAAGCTTGACTGGAATGGAGTGCTGGGGCGCTTGGAGCCTGGAGGAAGCAGGAGTTCACGTGGGCTTCCCAGTAAATCCACAACAGCACGCGCCCAAATTTATTCCCTTGCCCTGGCCTAGGGAGGGCAGACACCAGTCTAATGACAGTGTGTGTGAGCAACGGGCAAAGTTGCTAGTGCTCGGGGGTCCAGAAGCGGGGACCCACCTGTCTGGGCCGTGAATTTGGAGACCTGTGCAGTCACAGCTGCAACTCTTACTTTTGCCAAAGGCTCTTGTGATGCAGGAGTAGTATGAAGCTTGAAATGAGCACCTGGTTCAGTCAGCCTGCCATCAGCGCGTACCCAACCAGCGTCCCGTCTTGGCAAGGTCAGAGAAGAGGGACCACTGCAGGAGAACACCCGCAGACCAGCCGTTGGGAGAGCTGGGGGGAACTTGTTGTGTTGGGCCCACAAACCAGTGCACAATGGAGGTCGAAAGACAGGCCTAGACCAGGCTGGAATGTCCGCTGGTTGGCATCTCTCACCAAGGCTTTGGTGCCTTTGGAGATGAGAGCCACGGCTATGTCCGGATGACGGAAGTGGAGGATGTCCCCCACGACAGTCGCCAGATCGCAAGATCGAAGGTTTGGGGGCCTCAGGCCCCGGATGGATGGGGGGACCAAACAACCGCCCGAGCACGCAGCTTTTCAGTTCGGTTATGTTTTGTTTTTGAGCTTTCCTGGTTTTGTCATGCCAGGAACAGAGCTTTTGGAGGGAAGGTTGGGCTTTGCATCTGTACCAAGCTCAGGCTCAAGGCCGTTGCTGATGGACAGCATGGATGATCTAGACGAGGCAGGTCCGAAGAGATTGCAGTTTTGGACAGGGTCAACACATCGCGGCAACTGAGTATCTAAAGGGGCATTTGGGCCACGTTCAATGTATCATATTTACCAGCTGACGTATTCTATGAGTCATGTGGCCGCTTCCCATGAACACCATCTGAAAGGGTTTTTGTCTCAATTCCTCCTGCATGGATTCTTCCGGCTTTAAATGCTCACAGACAGAGAACGATTCAGCGGGTTCGCATGGCAAGGGTGACGGACACACCTCGTGCTCTTTCAAAAGGTCCAGGGGATCCGCACTTTCAAGCAAATATACATGCCATGTATATATATACATATGTACATAATATGTGTTGTATTTATGTATGTAATGTAATGTAATGTAACGTCATGTATTGCAATGTCATGTAATGTAATGTAATGTAATGTCATGTAATGATTGCATGTATGTAATGTATGTAATGCATGTAATGCATGTAATGCATGTAATGTCATGTCATGTCATGTCATGTCATGTCATGTCATGTCATGTCATGTCATGTCATGTCATGTCATGTATGTATGTATGTAATGTATGTATGTAATGTAATGTAATGTAATGTAATGTAATGTAATGTAATGTAATGTAATGTAATGTAATGTAATGTA